CGGAACCATGGGCAATAATACTTTACTACATGTTTTTGCTCTGATAGTATTATTATCAAAATCGGCCCAAGATTTTGAGGACAATTACAAATGTTTTGATCCATCGGTTCAGAAAATGTATGCTACAAAGAATATATCAGATGAGCAGCTGGAAAAATGGAAGCAGATATATAAAGATCAAGAGCATTTAGCAGCATACCACCGCATTCCACCTATAAGCACTAATAATAGTGCAGAGGGTAAGCATAGACACATTAACGAACTTGCAAAAAAAGCAAGAAACTTTTCTACTTTCATCAAATTCATTCTGAATGATACTATCATTAGGATTAATGAATCAATTGATCCCATTAATAAGCAAAAACGCGAGAAGAATGACTTGTTAAACGAAAAATGCATACATTGCGGATTCTCCTATAATGATATTAATACTGATAAGAATCCTTGTAAATATTGCAAGGATTTCTTTATGAATAAGAGTCATGTTCCCTCTGCAGGCATACATGTTATGAAAATAGGAGAAAACGTAGGTGAAATCATAGAATTCCCAATCGATAAAAATGTAGGTGATCAGGATGAACTCGTGGATCACAAAGAAAAGAGTTCGCCGATCGAAATATCAAAATACGCAGAATTTATTGATATTGACGATAAAAATAAAGCAGTTTTAGTCGTAAAACTGCTTTATAATCTTGAAACGTTCCAAGATGCCAAAGATTTAATCAATTCTCTGGAAAAACAATCAAAAAATTATGAATCTGCATTACAAAATAAACCAGAAATTTGGTTGGAAAAATACTTGCCTGAATTAATGAAGGAAGTAAAAGATGCGAGAGCTGCTAGAATGAGATTGAAGATAATAAAGAAGTAGAGATGATGAGTGAATAAAAACTTTGTATTAAATTTGTATATAAAAGAATTGTAAAATATAAAAATAAAGAAGTGGTTGATAGGAATTTGAAAATTCGTTGGGTGCATATAAGTTTGATAAATATATTTATGAATATTAATGTCAAATTGGGTGGTTGCATATAGTAATGAAAAATATATTAATAAAAATTAATGTCAAATTGGTTGGTTGCATATAGTAATGAAAATAAGATTAATAAAAATTAATGTCAAATTGGGTGGATTCGTGATAGAATGCTTCTGTGTATGTGTGGCGTGAGTTAGCATCGGGTGGTTTCATCACAAATTTTAACCCATCCAAATCTTATTAATTATTAAAATTCTTTTACAATTTCTGATGTATTTTTTGAAAACATTTCATATGCAATATTTCTCCTTTTCTTTCCTCAAATCTTCAAATATTAATAACTTTGGATATGAAATTATTTGGATCTTTTATGAATTTTAAATGTCTTTCTTAATATCAAATCGATTAAATTATTAATATTTTCTAAATTATGCCTAGGGTTGTACAAACTGGCACAATTTTGCGGGCCGCCTGCCAGGAGCTGGCACGCGGCCAAAATCAAAAAAGGGCCAAAAATCGGGCCTCATGGCGTGGAAAGGATGTCGCCCTTCGGGCTCCACCCTTTCCACGCCACTCGGCCTATGACCACAATTATATAATATGCTCATTATTATTTTTTCTTCTTTTCTCTTCTTTTTTTTTCTTTTTCTCTTTTCTTTCTTCTTTTTCCCTTTTCACTTCCTTTTTTTCTAGTTTTGGAAAGGAAAAAGTAAAAAATTTAATAATTAATTTTATTACTATGAAAATATACTTTTTAGCTTATATTGTAAGCTGTGAGAGTTTTAAGTGATGGAAGATATAAATCAAATTTGAAATTCAACAAATCTTGTTATGATTAAGTTGAATATTGTACTCTAATTAAGAGTTTTCAGTTATGAACTCAGGTATTATATAATAAAAGTATAACTCAAGATAATAAAGAGGTTTTTAAAATGTAGATCTGAAAATCAAACTACCATGTTTGATATGATTAAGTTGAATAATGTTATTTTATTAAATGGTTCAAATCTGTGAAATCGGCAATTACAAATTAAAGGCGTAGTTCAAAAAATTAAAGAGATTTTAAAAATTTAATATCAGAATTAAACTAAAAAAAGGATTTAGTTATTTCAGTAATTATCAGAAAAGGCTAAAAAGATAGGGTAAGTAATGAGACTTGAGTGAGATGTGAGAAATCATATGTAAATAATTAGATATCTGATGAGTAAGGTAGTAATGAGAGTTAAGATCTGGTTAGTAAGGTAGTAATGAGAGTTAAGATCTAGTTAGTAAGGTAGTAATGAGAGTTAAGATCTGGTTAGTAAGGTAGTAATGAGAGTTAAGATCTGGTTAGTAAGGTAGTAATGAGAGTTAAGATCTGGTTAGTAAGGTAGTAATGAGAGTTAAGATCTGGTTAGTAAGGTAGTAATGAGAGTTAAGATCTGGTTAGTAAGGTAGTAATGAGAGATCTGCGGGCAGTAATGATACATCTATGAGTACATAACTAAAACCTGAGTTCTATGAGCGAAATCTGAGAGCTAAAAGCCGAGAGATCTAAGGTAAGTAATGAGAGAAGAGAATTTGAAATTTTACAAAATACGTTTACTCATACAAAATAATTTGCATTCTTTTATAACGAATCTCAATGCCAATTAATACATAAAACAGATTTTAGCAATCAATTGCAAGATTTAGAAAGATTTTAATTATAATCTCAGCCAAATTAACAAATATTTTATTGATTTCGTCAAAAATAGCAATAAAACATAAAAATATGACATTCTATTTTTCCAAAAAAATTTCAAAAATCATTTTTTAACATGAAATTTATATTTTTTAATTTTTTTTTTGGAATTTTCAACCATGTCAAAAGTCGGGATCTACAAATGTATTCTCTTTGACATAGGATAAAAACATCCTTTCTTATAATTTCATTGTAAAATAAAATTTTCTTAAATTTATTGAATCCAAACTCAACTTTGCAACATTTTATTATCATAAAAACTAAGAAACATCAGGTAAACTTCAATTTGGAGAGCTTAAAATCATATCTAAATTGAAAAATAAGGGGAAAAAAATTGTAAAAAAAATCTCATTAGATGGGGCAAAAAGTGACTTTTTTAATGTGTTTTTTTAAAAAATCGTGCCAGCTGGCCAAAAAAGGTGTGCCAGCAGGCGTGCCAGTTTGTACAACCCTAGATTTTCATATGAATCAAATCCATTTGAAACTGATTATGATCAGCAAGAAAACAGTTTCGCTATTGAAGACTTCGTAACAGAAGAAGAGGAAAGAATAAATGTTTGAAAAATATTAAATAAGCTATTCATATATTTTAAGGGTTTCGTTTTGCTAAAATTGTCACTTTTATAGCATATTTGTTTTTGGATGTTTTGCGAAACCAAAAAAAAACTATGATATACAATGTGTGTGTAAAGAAAATACTTTATTTACTAGTTAAAAAATCATTTGGTATTGATCAAGTTATTTTTTCTGGATAAGATATTATATGGATAATTGGATAGAAAATACAATTATATAATCTTGTACCTGGTTTAATTAAGCTAATTGTCATCAGAAACTTGTAATTTTTATGAATTTCAGATTTTCTTTTCATTACTGCTTTTCTTAATAGGTCAAGTTCTTATTTACGTTATAAAGTATGATATTTACAAATATCAAGTTATCGTGTTTTTTGAGAAATTATGAGAAACAAACAAAAATGAAAAAGATAGGAATAGCAATGAATAGTGATGTGGGTATAGAAAATGTAAGAGATATGAATGCAAAGCAATCAGTATTTAGGACATTGACCATAGATTTCGAAAAAAAAATGCTGCATATTGAGCGAAAACTATGATTATATTATAAGGCTGTCATTTAAAGCATAATGAAACTATTCCCTTTTCATTTTAATCAAATAAGATAGTAAAGATTTTTGAATTAGCTAGAAACTGATGAGATGTTTTCACAAATCAGATTTTTAATCTCTATAATGCATAATTCACTCAATATCTCAATTTTGATATTGCGAGATATTTTTGCTATCGGTTTCGCAATTTTGACACAATAGCAAGAGGGTTCTATAAGCATTATTATCAACGTAGAATCTGAATATCATATCAGAAAATGTCGCAAATCTGACATTTACCCGACCAAATAGCAAAAATAATTGAATACTTTTCGCAAAAACTTTAAAAATCGATAAAAATATGAAATATAGATATTAAAGAGACTTCTTATATAATATTCATAAAGATTTTCCAAAAATATGATACCGCAAAATTAAAAAAGTGACGTCTTGAGTGGAGTCAAAGGTCGAAATTGCTAGCTAAATGTTTTTTTAGCGAAATTGCGTATTGTACGTTTTTTTCGCAAAACGAAACCCTTATATATTTCTTTCCTCTTTCTTTTTCATAAGCATTATCTTAAACAAAATCTTTAATAATTTTTTCATAATCCCAGACTTTATTTAATAAATGTATTGTAATGGTATGATATGCATGAACCTTCAAATCTCAATTAAGTTATACCATTCATTTTTTGGTGTTCCAATTTTTCTTTAGGATTTATTCGATATAAAATTAGTTTGGAAATGAAAGTACTTTAAATTGATGCGAATTCTGTTTAAGCATTAATACATGAATATGCTTTTTTTCCCTACTATTCCTTCTTTTCTCCTGACACTTTGTTGTCGATGAATTACGAATATGATTGTAGGAAAAACAATTTAAGACAACAGATGTCTTTCATATATAAAGGTCGTTTTTTTTAACATTTCGTAATTTTATATATATTTAACTCTAGCTAGCTCTTTTTGAAGATTATAGATGTCTATAATTATAATGCACCGAGAAATAATGAGTTATGAATGCTTACGAACTAGGAATTAGTGAGAACTGTCACTTTTTGGTTATCGGTTTTTTAAGGTCACTGAATTACAATTTCTTTAATAAAAATTAAGAACTTAAATGTTCATTTCTATTTTACTATCTATCTGCTTGCCTATATTTCTTCACTCTTGACATAAATTTTTCAAAAAATTTAATGGCAGATTACAATGATTACCTGATAGCTTTCACTCAAGTATGCAGATTCTTCAATGCATTCGCGCCATCTACAAAATTATTTATAGTGCCACTTACATCTTGTCAACAGAGGTTTGATTTTTTTGAACTATCTCCAACTGTTTATAAAGTTAATGAAAAAGTTATGGAACTTTTAAACTTAATTTATTCAATTAATGTAGACGAATTACCAGAAGAGTCTCTTTCAATGTATTATCAATTGAAAGATCAAACTGAATTCCAATTTGGAAATTTTATACAATATCTAAATAAGTACTTATATTGGATTAATAAAGAATGGCCTGGTTTACTTAAATCGTTAGATTCTATTGCAATCAAGTATCGAACTTATCTCAACCTAAATTTCATACAAAGATTTTCATACAAATCGAAAGAAATATATCCAATAATAAAAAAATTTTGTCGTGAACTAAGAGTTGATTTTAATGAGTTTTCTAATGGTGTTGATGAGGTCTATTGTGATTTACTCGATTTTGGTGTATCAGTTCTTAAAACAATTTCCAGTGTAAAGAAATTGATTTCAATTGTCAAAGAAAATCGAAAGCAACAAATCTTTCAAACTTACAATGATCAAGATAATCCAAAGGAAGAATTTAAATACCTGGAGAATCGATCTTATCTTAAGTCACTTCAATTTGAAACATTTCATAAAAGACCATATTCTGGTATTCCTAATATATTCTAGATTTCATTTTTTAAATTTTTAAAAATCTTTAAAATTTTATTCGACGAATTTATAATGTTCAAGAATATACAGAATTATAAAGTATTTTCATCCTTTTTAAGGCACATTTTATTAAAAAGTTTGCGTTATTTCCATCTCAATTTCTTTCAATCTCCCTCAATTTTTGTTGGGGTATCTCTTTATAAAAATGGTGTTTCTTGAACCTTTTGACTTTTATTTTTAGGTGACAATTTTGTTCTCAATAATTTTACAACATCTTTTACAACATCTTTTTCCGCATTTTTTACATCTTTAAAAAATGTTATATCGATTTATCCCTAAATACAAATAATATGGGAGTGAAAATTTTTGACAAACCAATCATTCACTTCATTTTTCAGATGAAAATTAGTTCTATCTTACAAAATGATCAATCGGATGATGATTTAATTGAAATGGTGTTAATGGGGTTTCTCAGTCATTCAATAGTGATTATATATGGGATGATTATGATATGGAAGCATATCTTGGAAACCTGACTGTAGATTTTGACTGTGAAACTTATTTTTGTTGTAGCTGTTGTTTTCATCCGCCCAAATGCTGTGAATGCTGTTACATACCACATAGGTTTCTTAATTGCATATCATGCACTCCCACTTGCGGAATTGGCAGAATTTTCGCATGTATTATAATTTTGATTGGCAACATATTCAATACTTTCAATGAACTTCCACTATTGACCGCATATATAGCCTCAATTGTCAGTTTAGTTATCTCATATTTCGATGAAACTCCAATCATTAGAACCACAACGATTGCCATTTTTTCCTTTCTCTGGTTATTGATTTTTTTACGGATTTTACATCTTTGGCCAACGACTCTTGAACAATATTTGATAACGGGAGATGTTACCACAAGGAAAATTCAGTATTTGAATCATATGATTGTTCATACTCCAATAGGTTCTTCGCTTGAATCTGACTTTCCATCTCTTTGTAACTTACTTAAAAATATCAAACTTCGGGAATGGTTCATGGATGAAGATTTACGTGCAAAATTTACATTGCATTTTAACATATTTAATTATCGAACTTTTGAAGGTGATAATCGAACATTTTTATTGAATGATCTATATAAGAATTGTCCAGAAAAAATCCAGATAAAACCCCCACAAATCAACCAACAAAATTTCTTTCAACCATTAATTCGTGTTTCCATGCAAGGAAATCAACAAAGTCAACCTCTACCCATGCCTTACCAGCAAAGTTCCAATGCTTATTATTCCTATATTCCTAATCTAATTCAATTATCTCCTTATTCACAGAACTCATTTCAAAATTCAGCGTAACAATAAACAAAGTTTTCATATCACAAATTACCAAATCATAGAGTCCCAAAAATGTTGAAGGCATAAATTGACTAGATATTGTATCAAGATCATGAAATTACTCAAATAATCTTATATATTTTCATATCACAACTCGTCTTTTGAGTTATTAGATCTTATTAGTAAACATTTATTTTATATATCAATTACAAATGAATCAATTGAGAGGAGTGTTTATGAAGATTAAGTGCCGAATGGAGCCCTGTGAATTATCGAATAGATTTTATTGAATTGAAAACCAATTGAAATTATAAAGTTGATAATATTAATTATTTCTGATAGTATAATAGTTTAATGCGAACTTGATAAATTTTTAAGATCAGAATTTTTTTGCCAAAAAAAATTTAAGATCATAATTTATAGGTTTAGAAAGTATTAATAAATGATTGTATATATTTTGCAAGTCGCTTAAAATATCATTTGAATGTCGATAATTCAGTAATTGAAAGATTTATCAAAAATTGAAAAGAGTATGACGTTTGAAAGAGAACTTCATTTTCACACAAGTATGACTTGCTGCTCCTGCTGCGCTAGAACAGTTATTGGAATTGTCAACTTCATTGTTCTTCTCATTCTTGGCCTATGTGTCTTCATTGGTTGGGCTGCAATCAAAAAGAATAACCTTGATACTTTAGGCAAAGCAAAAACAGGTGTAATTATGATGATTGTTGTTTTCGTATTTGTTGCAATTGTATGCATTCTTGGCTTCCTTATTATTTGCTTTGGTAACATTAAATGCTACAGAGTCACATACGCAATCCTGTTCATTGTAGTTGTTGTTATTGAAATTGTTATCATTGCCGTAGCAATTGGTATTGTAAAGAAGATTAACACTACTGTTCAAGCTTGGTGGGATGAAAACAAAGGCAAAGATACAATCAAAAGTATCAAAGAAGGCTTAGAATGCTGTGGTTACAAGACACCATATAGCGAAGAAGATATGAAGAACTGTGGTTATCACAACACAACTGCAACAACAATTGAAATTGCACCCAACAAGTAGATGATCTTATCAAAGCATGGAAGAAGATTCTTCTAGGTGTTGGTATCTTTGTTATTGTAATTCAAGTAATTGTACTTGCTTTCGCTCTTTATCTTGCTTTCTGGTATGAAAAAGAATAAAACTAAATAAACATTTTCCACCTTTAAGAATAAATCAACTTTAAATAAAATTGTTCTTCAGTCTTAGTAAATGATAAGTGGAATAAACTAAATTATAGTACAATGTATGTGCATTCGCTGAATAAATGAGGATATTTTTATATAAATACAAAGTATTGAAATCTTTTTGAATAATTGTTGATTTTAATTGGGAAGATTCAATATCAATTCCTGTGTTTAATTCTTGTTGTTCTTCAATAAATGCGGCATTTGGTTTTCTTTTGACTCTTTTTGAGCCTTTCTTAGGTTTTTCGTAAGGTTGACGAGGTTTGTAATAGTCATATTCTGGATAAAACTCGAAATTATCTTCTTTTTCTTCTTCTTCAAAATATGAATATGAATTTTTTGTATTTGTGGAAATTATTGATGTATTTATTTCGGATTTTTCTTCTGTAATGTCGTCAAGCTGTAATTGGTCTTGTGATGGAATTATTTCAGAAATTTTATTATTAATAGATTTTTTAATTGGTGATTCGTTAAATAATTGATCTTCGACTTCTTCTGATATACTTTCTAATATTAAATTTGAATTAGAATTGTTTTTAACAAAGTTATTTTGAAAATGTAAGATTTCGTTAATTCTTGTACTACTTCGCCGACTCTCAGATGCAGAATCATCGTTTTCGTAAGTTTGGTTTTGCTTTGGATGTGAAATTTGTCGCTTGCCTGCTCGATTTAAAATTTCTTTGATAGATTTACCTAATGTTGATCGTGGATTCTTAAGTTTTGTCTTAACCCTCATGTATGGAAATGCTTCTGAAACTTGGCAAATAACTTTTTTTTTGACAGTTGTCCGAAGATTCTTATTATATATTTGTCAAAAAAAAATCAGGCGATTAAGGCTGCAACCTATAGAAATAAAGGACAAAACATTAAACAGTTCAAGGATTACTATACACGTATGTGTGATGAGTATGTCAGGAAGTGGAAAGCATGTGTAATTGAAATTTTTATCGTTTAATCAATAAAACAAGTGAAACATAAAATTTACCAAAAAGAAAATTTATAAGTTTAAAAGAAGAACAAATTTTATTTTCTTTCTTTGGTACAAATAATACTTCATATTCAAAATCTCTTGCACATATACTAAAATCAATGTAGTAAAAAATAATTTTAAATGATTCTGTTCCTTTTTCTGATGTATCAACATCTCCATAAGATGAATAAGAATCAATACTACATTGATGTATATAAATCTGTCTACCACTTGCTTTAAATAAAAATCCATTCGGTCGATTGTTTTGGAAAGATGAATTGAAAATATCAAGATTACACTTATAAACAAAAACTAATACAAAATATTGCTCTTGAGAATTATTTATATAATTACATCGGTCAATTCTTCCTGAACAATGAAAAAACGAAGTAATAATCCATTGAGTTACTTTTAAATTCTCAAAATTACAAAATGAAACATTTACTGTTGATTCATAATCATATTCAAAATTTTGATAACTAAAACCTGTAGAACTTGCTGAAATACAGTTAGAAATGTTTGTTTTTGAAAGTGATGCAAAACCTTGATTTTGGAAAATCATAAAATTTACTGAACTATTTCCTCCATTACAAATTGATCCCTGGAGAATTGTACTGTTAATTTCGCCACATAAATAAGTAAATTGGCCTTCTGTAGGAGTTTGACTTTCAAATGAACAGAATTTATCAATAATAATGTTATTTTTACTATAACTTTGAATATAAACTGTACCTGAACCTTTTGAAAAAACGTTTTCGCAAAGTAAAATCGAGCAATCTTTTGTATATTCGAAATTAACTGCTCTATCTTGAAGATTGATAAACTTGCAGATGTATGCAAAGCATTTGCTAGATGTTGCTGTGACTTTTTCAACTTCACCGGTAAAAACTTCGGAAGGAGGACTAATTCCTTCATAGTAAAGGTTCCAAATGCTATCTTGATTAGCATCGCTATGGGGATACTTCTCGAGTACAATTAATTGCACTTAAACAATGAGTTTTTAGACACATTGCAAAAGTAATAAAAAGGATGGGGGTGACACCAAAAGTGAACTTCCTTCATAAAAAAATGAAATTCACTGGAATATTCATCAAATATTTATTATTTATCTGTTAGTTTGGTTAAATCAAAAGTATAGCTGTTCAGAATTATTCATTTTTTATAATGTCTGGGAAATCTATTGTACGTGTTACATCTCATCGAGCTGATAATAACAAATTATATTATTGTATTCAATGTAATGATAATACATTTCTCTGGGTAACTCCAAACTCCATAAATGATGAAACAAATAAATTATTTGTAAGGTACTTTTATAACAGATCCTGTTGATGATGATTTATTTTTAACTCGAGAAGATAAAGATAATCCAAGCATTGTATTCAAAGAAAAATATAAAAAGATGAATAATATAACAATTTATAAATACAAATAAAACAATTAATCAATTCCTTTAAGGAACTTATTATTATATTATAGGCTGATTTGGCATTGTCTCTTTTGATTCTGGGAGTAGATTTATAATTATCATCATCTGAACTAGAATTATCAAGGAATTTTCGTTTAAAAGGCGAGGTTTTTGAATGGGTTTCTTTATTTGTTGTTGTTTTTGGAGTTGATTGTTGATAATTTTCTTTTTGTGAAATTTTTGTTGTTGATTTGCTAATTTTAGGTGTATTGTAATTATACTTCTTTGGTGTATTGAATTTGTCTTGTTTGAGTCCGGATTCATCATCACTTGATGAAGAGAATATAAATCTTGATCCGTTTTTAAGAGTTAAAGGGGATATTTTATCTGGGTCACTATCGAATATATGGTTGAACTCAAATAGATATGTTTCATTAGACAAAACTGACTCTGAAAGTCGAGATCGATAATTCATTGTCGAAATGACCTGATATTTATCTGGATCTGTTTCGTATCTGTTCAGTTTAGGATATTTACTAACACGAAAGCCACGATGATCGTCATCACTAGCATAAACTCCGTCTTTTGGAATTCCAAGAAACAAAACTTCTTCGTTGTTTTCTTCTTCATATGAATATTCATATTCAATATCAATATCAATTCCTGTGTTTAATTCTTGTTGTTCTTCAATAAATGCAGCATTTGGTTTTCTTTTGACTCTTTTTGAGCCTTTCTTAGGTTTTTCGTAAGGTTGACGAGGTTTGTAATAGTCATATTCTGGATAAAACTCGAAATTATCTTCTTTTTCTTCTTCTTCAAAATATGAATATGAATTTTTTGTATTTGTGGAAATTATTGATGTATTTATTTCGGATTTTTCTTCTGTAATGTCGTCAAGCTGTAATTGGTCTTGTGATGGAATTATTTCAGAAATTTTATTATTAATAGATTTTTTAATTGGTGATTCGTTAAATAATTGATCTTCGGCTTCTTCTGATATACTTTCTAATATGAAATTTGAATTAGAATTGTTTCTTACAAAATTATTTTGAAAATGTAGGATTTCGTTAACACCGCTCGCATTTTTGTTCGCTATACTTATTTAAATTAAGCTACCTTAAACATACTTGTACCAAATATTAAAACTCTCTCAAATGTTAAATACAAAATTAATTAAATTATTAAGTTGAAAACTTTCACAATTTTCCACTTTAATATGCGTGCTTGACTAGGAACATCAATGGTAACATCTCGATATATTCATTTGTGGCAAATAAAAAGATTATGAAATTTATTATGAATATTACACAAAAAAAGGAGGTGATAGCAAGACAAAAATAGACATATTATCATGTTTGTCTAATTCATCTATGCATTGTATATAATCGAAATTTATTTTGTAACTCACGTATTTTCAAGCTACCTTAAATATCTTCCTAGTATAAAATCGTTTACAATTCATTTCCACTCAAATCTAGTTAAATTTATTATAATATTATTATCAATATAATTCCTTACTCATAAATCACTCATTATCTCACACATATGATATAAGCTCAGCTAGTATTATCTAAATTTTTCATTATTACTCCTTGAATAAATCTACATGTGGAACCCTGAGTTGAGTGACTTCTAAATATTCATGATTAAAAATGTGAACCAAATTGCAAATTTTTAATAAAACCAAGCAATCCATGATGCATACTGTTATAAATTTATGAGAAAGACATGCAGCATTATGAGAAAAGACTACGTTTTTTCTCTCAAAAAATTGAATTGCTATTCAACTGCGATTTTGAGATGACTATATTATAATAAATTTAACTAGATTTGAGTGGAAATGAATTTTAAACGATTTTATATTAGGAAATGGTGTCTATTTATGCAAGCATATAATAAATAATAATTTTGAGGATATATTAGCCATAAGACTTAAATAGCTTAGTGGAAAACTCAATAAAGATTAGGACAAGTATTATTCTCCAATATCGATGATTTCAAACTTGGAATTGGGCGAAATTATTTGATAAAAATTCCATTGGAAGGATTTGAAAAGTTTTAACTATAATGAATGTATAACTTATGTGATGAGAAATTGAAATGAATATGAGTTTAAAGGAATTAATTAAGAAAATTTATTAGAATATATACTGAATTAAAAGACATAACTTGCATAAAAATAAATGATTTAGCTAAAATATTTTAATAACCCTTAGGGTTGTACAAACTGGCACAATTTTGCGGGCCGCCTGCCAGGAGCTGGCACGCGGCCAAAATCAAAAAAGTGGCCAAAAATCGGGCCTCGTGGCGTGGAAAGGGTGGAGCCCGAAGGGCGACATCCTTTCCACGCCACTCGGCCTATGACCACAATTATATAATATGCTCATTATTAGTAGTATATGTGGAAGGGTTTAGTGACTTTTTTTGTTACATCTATATATAGACGATGCATTAAAATATATTTATTTATAAATCATTAAAAAAATTAACATTAATTTTAAAATAATTTATTTTTTTATCTTTTATAAAAGAAGCTATATATAGATGATGTCAGATATTCCGCGATTAATTAAACATCATTTAAATCCTGAATGGGTTAAACTTCAATTTAAAAATGAAGATTGTGAATTATTAAATGAATATGAAAGCCAAAATAAGCTAATGAGGTATAAATATAATGATAAAGAATATTTAATTTCATGGAATCAATGGAGTCATAATCAAAGACCTCATAAACGAGAAGAAGAAATTGAAAATAATGAAATGGAAATCATTGATGACATTAAAGAGGATGGAATTCCTAAATTTTGTAGAAAAACCTTTAGAACTAAGTTAGGAGCATATAAACGTAGAGTATTAAATCCTGAATACATAAAACATTTATTTAAAAAGGAAGACTGTGAATTATTAAACGTTAATGAATATGAAAATGCTAAATCAAAATTGAATATAATATATTGGAAGTGATGAAAGGTGTAAAGATAAAGATAAAGTTTATTCAGTTTCATATAATAACTGGCACACGTTAGGGATAAGAAAACATTTAGGAGATTATGGTAAAAGTTCTGAATTCTTTAAATCTAGTATGTACGAGAGAGTAAAAGAAATTAGAAATAATTATTTTCATGAATGAAAAATAAACTTTAAAAATTCATGTCTTACATTTTTTGAATAATTTATTTTTTTAATTCGTAAGAAAATGAGTGGATCAAGATTCGTAACCGTCAATCAATTAATGGATGCTCTTTCACCAATTCTTGAAAATGTTAAACAAGTAGATGTTTATTTCGATGATTATGTAGAAAGTATATATTATAAAGGTAAGTTTAATATTAAACCTATTGCTTTTGCATTTGATAATAAATTAATTGAAAATGCAAAAATTTGGGAATTAATTCCGAATATTGAATTTATAACAAATATTAATGATAAATGGTTTAAACGAATTCCAACCACAAAAGTTCTTTGTAAATTAATGATCAAAACTGAGGAAAAAGAATTTAACGGGTTTAAATATCATCCAAATAAAGTTTCAGAACTAGAAAATGAAAAACTTCAGAAAAAATTAAACGATAGACTTTCAAATGATCGTATTGAAAAAATAAATAAACTAACAGAAGTTGCATTTAATAATGAAATATTTGATGAATATAACCTTGAACTCAGTGATGGACTTTAAGTCCTGGGCACTTTGTGCCTTGGGCTTTAAGGACCCGGGCTCAACGAGTCATGATTTATGATATCAATTATTTGATTCATTCGCTCTTCAATAATTTCTATTCTTTTTGTTAAATCATCTATTTTCATTAATGAGGTGATTCTTGATTGAGGAATAGATTTCAAACTAACCACTCCTTTTATTTTTGAAATTTTGAATCCATCAACTTTAAACATTTTATTCAATTTACATGTGTCAATTCTTCAAATAATTTTTTATTGTTAGCATAATAGTCATTAAATTCTTCAACAGATGAAAAAATTTTATTTCAGTAATTGGTTTAACAACGTTTATTTTTTGTTGAACATTTTCACTTTCATTTATTTCTTCCTCCTTTGTTTCATTTATTTTTAAAATCGGTTTCATTTATCATTAAATAAAAATTAGAATATAAGTGATGAATATATTTTTTAATTAATATTAAATCAGAAATGGCGGCAGGATTCTTTAAAAATTATGGGATGGAATTAAGAAAGCTGCAGGTTGGGTTTATAAAAAGGTTATTAAACCTGTTGCAAACTTTTTGGCACCAGTAGCGAAAACGGCAGGAACTATCATAGGTGGCGTATTAGGTACTAAAGCAGGTAATCCGGCGATGGGAGCACAAGCAGGTAACGCAGTTGGTGGAATTGCTGAAGGAATACTTAATAAAATAGGAGGTGGTTAGTGGAAAAATAAATAAATATTATTTTTATCTTAGTATTGGTTGAAGTCTTTGATAAACTTTTTCTCCTTTATTTAAAATTTCTCTTATTGGGGCAGCTTTTGGTGTTATTGATTCAGCAACGTCACTAATTGCTTCTTTATTCTTAAATATCCAATTTGCTCCTTTCTTCATTGTTTCCCAAACTTTATGCGCTCCTCTTTTTACTCTATCCCACAGTTTCTTAAAGAATCCTGCAGCCATAGTTGATTATTTCATTAAAATTAAAAAATTCATTTTCATCTTTTAATTTTGATTTTTTATTTAATAATAAATGACGACTAACTATTTAGTGCCAAACACCAAACCGATTAATGGAAATGTGTTTCATTCATTCGAAAAGATAAATGAAATATTCGCAAAGAATGATGGAAGAAGATATTATAGAGAACTTGAAAGTTCATGCTATGACTCTGATGCTCCATATTTTGATGATAAACAAACTCATTTAAGAATTACAAATCCGGCTCATGATGTGAACCAATTAGGTGACACATATATTAAACGCAAAGTTAAGAGCAACTCTAGTTTCAAATAAAGCTTTCACATGTGATGCCGCTTTTAAATGCATGCGTTTATTCGTTGGTTACAAATCATCAAATCAAAGCTTTAAACAATTAGAAGTAGAAACTGAAAGAGGTGATGCTGGTTATCTTCAATGGATTGTGCCCGTGAATCTTTCGCATTTGCAACATATAAACCAAAATCAGAAAGGAAAGTTAAAAAGTTTGTTCATTCGTTATATAATAATGTTCAAAAATATGATAACTCAGTATGTGGTAAATATATTGACCCTTCAGAAGTTTTCAAGAAAGCAAATGAAGAAGTTGATATCACTTTTGATATGATTATTCCGGTAAATGATTTGTTAGCATTTCAGGCGTTCGATGATTATCCTAAATCATTTGGTGAAATCATTCTTAAATATTATGTTTTCAGGGATACTTTAGTATTTTGTCAGGTTGACCCGTTAAGAGTTGCTGATTTACAAAATTATGTTTATGAAAAGATAACTGATGAAAATTATGAAAAGATTATGAATCATGTTTATAAATATGATCGCAAATTCCAACAAATCGGACTTCCTGCCAAAATTAATTACAAGCTTAGCCGCTACATCTGCTGACGCAACAGTTGAAGACGTTATTATTTCATGCACAAAGATGGAAGTTTTAGAGGATAAATGCATTACACCAGGATACGGTTTAATTGAAGAATCAGTTAAAGCAATACCACGTTTATTTAGTAAGGAAGATCCATTCATGATTCCAGCTCAACATATTGACGTTCGTTCACTAAATGGAGGTTGCATCACTCCTGAAGGTATCAGCTCAGATTTCTCATACGCTCTTCATAATGTTACAGATGTTGTGTTAACATTTCCGAAGAATGCAATGCAAAGAACAGTTTTAGAAAATCCAATGCTTCGAGGTCTTCAGGTCACTATAGATTCCAGAAACTTCCCCGATCAAGCGATGACCACAGTGGGTGACATATTCTTTACACGTATGCTTCAAGCTTCTGATTTAGATGGGTGAATGAATGCACGGAAGAATACGAGGACTCATTAACTAGACCACTGAATGCAGATGATGGCACGCCATTAGCTAGAACATGGAAAGACCAAACTTCATTCTTATGCACTATTCCAGTTCAACGTGATGGAGCGGGTATATTCTTTGATGGATTAGAAACTTTCAACTCACAAGTTACAGTACAAGTGAAAGCTTATCCAATCATTCAGGGTGAAAATGACACTTACTGTTCAAAGGTGACAAATCCTCCTCAGGTTTGGTTTACTAGGACTACATATTGGACATGGACACCGGATGAAGGTTTGAAATATCATCCAACAGGTACACCACCACAGTATAGAAGTTCATATGATGAAATATTGATGAATAGAAATGTTTAAAATTATAAATTTATTTTTGATTAAATGGATTTAAATTCATCCACTCCTTATGAAGAATTAACAGATGTATATAATACATACGTAGATGATATGATTAATGAAGCATTGAGTGATAATAGAAATGCTCTATCTAAGGAAAAATTAATGAAAATTCCATATTCTGAATGTTACTTAAATTCAATCACTGCAGCAATTGGTAAACAAAATAAAGGTAAAACATTAACAATATTAAAACAAATTATCATTATTGCTAACACTTCACCCCATTCACATGTGTTAATTTATATCAACCGTTCAGGTTCACCTTCAGATAATACATTTGAATCTTTAAAGCATTTAATCAAAATTCCAATTATTTATTTATCACAAGAAGAAGCAGAAGATTATTTAAAAAACTTTTTAATGTATAAAAAGAATTATATAATACAATCAAGAAGCAAGGATTAGAGGATAAAATTATTGATAAACAACGGGATGAATTATTTGAAACACTTTCTATTTCAAATTTTGATAAAGAATTTTTGCATTCATCATTTTTCTAGATGATGCAGTGAAATCAAAACTAATAACAAATGAGAAATCATATTTTAATCAGTTATTAACTCAATGTCGACATATTCAATGTTCATTCTTTATGGCTGTTCAATATTTCAAAGCATTAAGCACAAACATTAAATCAAATCTATCAACACTTTTCATTTTCAGTGGGTTTAGTCGTCAACAGTTGAAATGCTTTATCAAGTGAATTTACCAATGAGCATTAATGAACTTTACACACAATATCAGCAATTAGGTGAACATGGAAAAATAATAGTTGATTTAAATAAAGGAAGTGTTAAATTTGATTAACTTTTTATAATTAATTTTTATTTTTTATTTATAATTAAACATGACAGAAATAGCAAATCTTCTACAGGTTCCATTAAAACAAGGAACAAACAAAAGGGGTGCATATAATAGAACCATGAAAGTTCCAGACGGAATGAAAGAATTAGTTCACATTGTTGCTGGTCTTCAAAAAGATGTTAAACAAATGAGAAATGTTTTAACATTACCAGAAGCTCAAGCATATGCCAAACGTCATGGTCCAAATTGGGAAGCACACGAAGCAGACATTACGGGTCCAAATGGAAAACCTGATGGTATAAATGAAGTTTTCGTTACTGATGGTCAAGGTAATATTAAAGTCATAAATGGTTACAAATTAACTGTATCTGATTATCCTAAACGTAAAGCATATAATGAACATTATCCTATGCAATTTGATGAAAATGGAAAAGCTGTTAAACAATACATTGGAGAAGGCGAAAATGGTCCAATTAATTCATACCGTCATAATCCATATTCTTATTTCAATGAAGAATTAAACGCTATTGAAGAGGGACCGGATGGATTACCACGATATGTTAATCAGTTTGATGGTCAATATACAAATTTGAGACCTGAAATTCCAGCTAAGAAATTCTTTAAAGTTGCTTTATTCGATCCAGTTTTCGCAAATGTTAAAGATGAACTTAAACAGCAATTCCAACCAATTATAGTAGCAAGAATTGCATCAGGTGCTTTATCTCAAGCATTCAAAGATTTAATTAAGAAACCATTATATCAGCAACGAGGTTTAACTTATGATTTAGTTAAGGAATCAGATAAAAGAAAATTTGAGAAATCAGTTGATTATAAGAATGCAATTAATGAATATATTAGGTCTATTAATTTCGATGAAAATGCTAAAAATCAACTTCATGAACAAATACAGGGAATAATAGATTCAAAAGTTCCAGCAAAATAAAAGTTTAAATATATTTTTTTATTCGAATATAAATGAGAAGACGTTTCACAAGTCAAAAGAACACAAACGCAAAAGCAGAGATTACGGTTGGTTATAACGTAAATGATGATAAATCACGAATTATTCAAAATGTTAAAGTTAATGTTAGCCCTGAATTAACAAGGTCAGCAACTCAACCAAATTTATTAACTCGTGACTTACCAAAGAATGAGGAGAATGAAGAAAACCATGAGAATGGAGACCCAATCATTTTATCTGAACCCGGTAAAGAACCTGTTGAAATCCCCACATATCCAACATACCCCCCACCTCTTTCATCAAACATCGAGAACTCAGGAATCTACGATTACAGTCGCAATGCGCCATATAAAATAGACATTAATTCAGAATTAATGAAAATTTACCGTGATATAATAACTAATAATTATGATTCAATAATAAATTTAATTGATCAATCCGGTTTAATTATTTTACCTTATGAATCATTAATTCACATTATCGCCATTCTTTGTGATGTTCAGGATTCAGACGTTAAGATTCAATTTTTCATAGATGATGAGGTTTCATGCTGCGGAACTGTTGCAAAAATAAATCCTATAAAGGATATTAGCACAATTAAGATATCAAAGAACGGAACAACAACTGAACTTCATTTAACTTATAATGATATTTATAATAAAATAGTTGATGAATATAAAATATCACTTGAAAAATTCTTTGTTAAGGCCATTTAATATTCAAGCATTAACATTATTGAATAATAATCCTTTGAATCATAATCAATAATAATTGACCTTTCACCAGTTTCTATCGTTTGTTTTATTTCTTTTTGTTTCCCACTATCTGGATCGGTCATTGTAATTGTTTTTGTTATAGTATCAGCTTTATCTTTAACTTCAATCTTTTTTCCATCAGGATATTTAAACCAAAATTCCAAAAATTCGATATTGTCAATCTGTTCATATTTTAATCTATCAATTACATTTTTAATACCATCTGAAAATCTTATGAAATGGTCATTATATGGGTTTGATTGAACTAAATTTGAATGAAGTGAAATATAACCCGATGATGAATATGACATTGACTCATATTTCTGAAAACACTAAAATTTATAACATGAATGAATTTCTTATTCGTTGAATTTATGAATTCTTGAGGTAATCTTATTCTAGTTTTATTTATCACTGGAAAATAACGCTTTACCATATTTTTAATCGTAATAAAAAATGTCAATTATCAATATTATTTCGAATAATAGCTGTGAATTAAATTTAACAGTTAGCGGAATTTATAATGTTACTCTCGTTTCTGTGAGTGGTAAATTTAATCCCATTCTTTTAGACCCTTCAGATTATATATCATTTATTAAAGATGACCTTGAAAAAACGTATGATATGTATATAAATAATGTGATAACGAAATGGGATATTAACATGATTTTAAGTTATTTAAATGATCATTTATCGTATGGTATGAAGAAAATTTTAATCAAAACCTGATAAACTTTTTGAACTTGATAAATAAATAACCTTATTAAATTTCCGCTGAAAATTAAATTTTGTACTCCTCATCTTCGTTCATTGTTGGGGATATTAAATTTTGAAAAAGATGTTGGGGATGTGTTGTATTCTGACACTGGTTCCAATTTCATTTTAATCAAATGTGATAAAGTTAATACCCCAATGAGATTTTCACATCAAACATTAGACCCTAACTCTTACCCATCAATACAAAACATTTTATCCATCAACTTAAACATATTTTCTTTATCATATCCGTTTCAATTATCCGGGAATTCATTTATTCTTCATTCAAAAGATTTATCAAATATTAAATTTAGAATAACTGACCTATTTGATTGTGATTTAGAATTCATGAATGAAATATTATGGCAATTTCAAATACATTTATTATCACAAATGGCTTCTTTAATGAAATTCATAAACATCTCAATTTTTGAGTAATCAGGCTTTTCAAGAATGTTGTATTTATAACCATGAAACGTTGAGAAAACATCGGGGGAATCAGATTTAAAGCAAACACCCTTAACGGTTAATGAGGATAATTGATTTAGTAGTACATCCCATGCTGTTATTGTTTTACCTTCTTCTTTAAATAATTTAATCATTTTGAGTGACTCTTTCATGTTTGATTGAAGAACAAATGATATTTGATTCATTTTGTCGTGTATGTTGTAATCTTTCTGAATGAAATATTTATTTCCACAATCTACAAAACGGATTACACGTGATAAATCCTCAATTACTTCAGAACTGTTTTTATACTGATGATTTTCAGCCTTGCGTCTAATATCTGTTATCAAAAACGAGTCGTCAAGTTTGATATCAAATGTTATTTTTGGCTTACGTAATAAAGGTAAAACATATTCATCATAATATTCCTTTTGATATAGTTTTAGAATCTTCACCAAAACAAATGGAGAAGTCATTAAATGTGCATATCTATTACGTGCTTTTTCAAAATTACTTTTTGCATTTTCAGTTAAATTGCAGAAGTTATAAACGTTATCGTATGCTTCATTAATTAAATGATTAGGTAACGAATTAATAGCTTGAAACAGTGTGAATAATGTAACTTCTTTTTCTAAATTCATGTTTCCACCGTCATTATGTACTTCAAAATCACAGATGCCATCAACTATGCTCTGGGCAAGTTTATCGTCAATGTTTACATCTTTGTTTTCATTCATGATAGTCTTTATTTCTTCGTTCTTCTGTTCAACTCTTACCTTAATATTCAAATCATTTAATATATCATTCACTGTTCTGGTTAATGTTGAATCATAACTTCCACGAATGAATGAGTATGTATTGATTGGTTCTGTTGCATTCTTGCGAACTCTTGAATCAGCCATAACTACTAAAGAACGCTTTGAATCATCCATTGAAGTCATTATATCAATATCATAATCATTGCAGGAATAACATTTAATCATTCTGTTCGAGGTTGAATAGAAGAAATTAGTGTTGCAATAAATGTGAAGACCTCCTGAAGCGGTTTTAACGATAACATCTTTATCCGAAAGTTTTGATAAAATGTCTTTTCTAACTGTTTCTTTAAGTTCATCATTGTATGATTTATTGATATCAACATCTATAATCGTTAAATTTGAAATTTTATTTACTAATAAAGCCATACCAGTTTTCCTTCCTCTTCCTCCATCGTGTTTGAGGTAGTTATGTAAATCAATCTTGTTTTCACCAATTCTTTCGTTGAGGGTTTTAGTTTCTGCCACAACTAATTCCTCAGCTAATGAATCAATGATATTTTCATCAGAAACGATATAGTTGTTGCTGTTGTTTGTTGCTGTCATTTATATAGGAATAAAAAAATAAAAACAATTTTAAAACTAACTTTATTTTTGGACTGCATCATATTTCCTATGTTGTTGTCAAAATGTCATGTTGTCACATTTTTTCAGAGAAGTTAAATGACCTGGTAGCACATGGTAACATGGTAGCACCTTCGGTTATTCAAAAATAAGTCATAACTGCCTTCCTCCTATGTTGTTGTCAAAATGTCATGTTGTCACATTTTTTCATAGAAGTTAAATGACCTGGTAGCACATGGTAACATGGTAGCACCTTCGGTTATTCAATAATTAATTATTTTTGAATAACCTAAAAACATTAACGATAAAATAAGTGATAACAAATTTTTATTTTTATCATAAATGAATACCCCACAAGCTCAAAATTTACCACGAATCATAACAAGGGAGGAAATGATAAAAATGATGCAAGAACATGTTAAAAATAACAAACCACTAAAATTGAGAAAATGTGGTTATGCAGTAATGATGGAAAGAGAGATGTTGTCGAAGAGGAATAAAAATTAAATTTGGATTGAGTTTAAAAATTCATCTTTATTAAATTCATCTCTTCCAATCAATTTATTTATTCTATTAAATTCTTTTATTTTTGCTTCACTCAGTTTAAGGATTGAACGATAAGTTTCTAATTTTTCGATTATTTCTTTATCATTTTCAACCCCACTGCATTGCGACTTCTTTTTGTAATAGCATATTTTTGATTTAATTCTGTTTAGTTTCTTTTTATATTCATTGTCTGGACTCTTGACTGCTTTGTTGTCACTCATTTCTTACGAAATAAAAAAATTAAATATTATTTAAATATAATGGAGTAATAAAATAAATCGGAATTTCTATTAATTTATTGTTCAACTTCAACTAATGCATTGCCGTTAATATATCTAACAAATTCAGCTATTGTGTCAAATCTTCGTCTTCTTTTTGTCATTGATTTATCAGTTTTTCCATAATCGAGATGAATTAAAACTTTATTTCCTTGTTTAAAATTCATGAGCCCCGAATTAATTTGTTCACGTTTAACATCATTTAACCTTTCCATTTGCTTTCTAATATATTCCCATTCTTTTGAAATATCATTTTTCATTTCCACTGGTTTCATGTTTATAGTTCTATGCCATGTATTATTGTAATAATATACTAACTGCTGTATGATGGAGTCATGATTTCCATCCCAGTATATCTGACCATTAACCCCTAACGCATCTCTAAGAGTTCTCATTACCGCATCAACTATTTTATTATGAAACGTATATGGAGAGGATGAAAAGTAAAAATTAATTTGTGGGAAATAATGAGCCATAGCTGCCTGAAATCCTTTATCACCATCACCCCTTATATTATCTACTCTTTCATGATCTAGTAAGTATTGTATAGCTCTTCTTGTTTCCTGTTCTGTTTTCCCTTTCACCGGAATGCAATATAAATATCTGGTGTTAATGTTAATGGCAAATAAATAAGTAACGTTTCCTTTTGAATATTCCAGATGATCGATTTCGTATGAATATGGATATAGTGCAAATGAAGGGCGACTAAATTTTTCCTTTAACGGTTGAATTTTTGGGTCAATTGGTTTATTTAATATCTTGAAATCCTTTTTAAAATCTTTTTGCTTCTTTAATGTTTGAAATGGATATAATAAAGTGAATGATGAAGGATTAACTGAAGGAGGAGGTACTACTGTCGTTGGAGGTTTTGGTGTTGTAAGTGGTTTAATTTTATCTGCTTTGATTTTGGATTTCATTCCTCCTTTCATTAATTCTGGATGTATTCTATTCATTTGTTTTAAATATGCTGTATATAAAGGTTTGATATACTTTCCCGCTTCGAGTTTATGTTGAAGGATGAATTCCAAAAGTTGATCTTCATTTAAAAGTCGGGCTGAATATGGTTTAACTAATGAATCATAAATTAAAGCTTGTGCATCATTTATGGTCTGAAGGACCTGGGCGTTTTGTACCATTTGTTTTTGTTCCTTTGGCTTTTGCGGCTCGGGATTATATAATTTATATAATTCATCAATATCTTCTTCTGTTAATACTTTATTTTTGAAATCTTTCAACTGTTTAAGCTGTGATTTAGTTTTTCCCTTTGTATATTCATTATTTTTAATTTTGTCTTTAATTTTAGAAATTATTTTATCATGATATTTCAAAATTTCATTTTTATAATACGAATAATAATAATCCATATCATCACCCGTTATATTTTTATTATATTTTTGGAGATATGCTTTTAAATCATAATAATCAAGAAAATTTTGATTAAATACTAAATCATCAATTAAAATTTTTAAATCTGTGTTATCCATTTATATAAAAATAAAATAAATGTTTTAAGGGTGCCCACCTCTTTGAATCATAGTACAAAACCATTATTAACGGTTCCTTTTGTCTCTTCTGTGGCATTTCATTAAATAAATGGCATACAACATCCATTTTCACAACATACAGCCTTAGTGTGTGCTCCTGTTAATGCAGTCTTACCAATTGTTAAGCGAGTCATTGACCCGTTTTTAAGTTGTAAATTAATATTCTGACCATCAAATATCACTTTATCATTTATTATATCCAAATAATTTTTAGGTGTTAATTGTTTATTTTGTCGTAAACTAACACCTTTCATTTTTTGTGCAATCTTTTTAAAATCACTTCCATCAATTGAACCGTTGAATGAAGTATAACACTTAGGGCATAAAGCAACCATGTTATCACCTTGTTTCTCAATTGCTAAACCCAATAACTTCTTCTCATGTGCTTTTTCTTCAGCTTTATTCTTTAATTTAGGTTTAAATTTCTCATCAAAACAGAAGAAATCAAAAGGTGCGAATTTGTAAATGTTTTTATCATAAAATTGTTTATCGGTTACAATTGCTTGAAATGCTTGAGTGTTAGGAAGACTTGGATCGCCAGCAATAGCCCAATAAGATGAATCAGTATCACCTTCAATGAAATGAAAACGATTAACATCATGCATTTATACATAAAATCATAAATGAAAACCAAATACCAGTATTTAGCATTATCTAAAGTGAAGAATGCCTCTTGTAAACATGTATCACATCTATAAAATCTATCTTTAAGCATCACTTGATACGTATCTTCACCTATTTCTCTTATGTTTTTAAACTTATTTGACATACATGCAACGCGTGCCTTCTGTGCATTCATTATTTTAGTCTTTGCGTAATTTTGTGTATTCATTGCATCGTAACCATATGATCCATTAAGTGAAATCTTGCAAAATAAACTTTTTCCTTTATTTCCTTCTAATTCAGCCTTTTGTCTTTCGTTCATAAATTCGTTCGCAAATTCATTAAAACAAGTATTTTTCGTAAATGTTAAAATTGATTGAATGTCATCAATGATAAAATGAAATCTGTCTATTAGATACCAAAGATAATAAGAAGAAAATGGTTGATATTGGTTGTGTGTTGATGCTAACTGAGTTAATTTTCTCTGTTTCTGGTCAACTGGTAGATTGTTTGATTTCATGTAATTATACATAAAACTGCCAATTGTTTTTTCATCTGTGATAATATCTAAGTTTCTTATTATCGGTAAAAAGTTTATGTAATCATTAATGTATTTTTCATCAATGTGACCCTTTACTTCAGCCACGAATAAAGTATTTTTCTTTCTAATTATTCCCAATGCTTTTGCTTTCTTTGTTGCTGTATCACAAATGATAACACCATTCAATCTTCCCGGCATATACATTTTATGGTCAGTATATTGAATGAAATCATGAGGATTAGATGAAAATGATGAAGGATATAATGAATTAAAGTCAACTCCAACAAAATGAGTCATGATGTTGGTGGTGTCCTCATTTGATACAGTTTTAGTTTCTGGATTATATGAAAGTTTATTAATGTGCGTGATTCCTTTAAGATTAACACGATGTTGAACATTTGATAGACCACCAGTAATTCCATTACGGAGAATGTGATAAGCTTCAACTGAATCTAAAGTCATTGGTAAATTATTTTTTAATGTATAATTTCTTAAATTGATTCTTAAACGTTGAACATCTTCATCTTTATTTGATTTTACGACATTGCAATAACAACACATTAACTGACAATTTTCTTTGGTATGTGGTTTTTCATTATCGATTCTATCTAATGTTGGTTTATTTGCATATGTAAACGCTTTACCACACATTTTGCATTTAGATGAAAGGATTAAATCGTGATAGTATTGAAAATCATCCATTGAAACATTATTTTTAGTATCTCTTTCTGCTTTTTCATCTTGTTTCTTATATGATTCAATTTTATATTTCCAATACTTTTTCGTTAATTCAAAACTTGATTCCACATTTTCTTCTTCTGGATATTTTTCGTTAGGATTAAAGTCTTTATATGCTAAAGCGTAACGAATCATTGATGCATTCGATGATAAAGAAAGATTATGAAGCATGTCAATTTTATAAACAAATGTTTCTTCAATAATTTTATCAATTGGGTCAATCATAATTTCAACATCTTTATTGCAATAATGAATAAAATATTCTAATCTATTCTTAAAATTTTTAGCATCATTGAGATATATTTGATAATCACTATCTGATATAGTTTCTTGAGTTAATGCTGAATAAAATGAATCTTTCGTGAATGGTTCCTCTTTATATAATTCTTCTTCGTAATTTTCCCATGTGATGAATTGATAAGGGAAAAAGGATTTAACACGTGATTTATTGTTTCCGAAATCTGAGTGAATTGGTCTAATGTCCCACCCGCTATATAATTTCTGATGTCAATAAATCTCAATTCATATGGAACGTTTGTTTTCTTTACAATGATTTGCTTAAATTGAGAAGATGAACCCAGCATTGATTTTATTTTCCATTTTGCAGTGTTTAAATCACGAAGAATTAAATTTAAATCAAACTTTCCCGAATTAAAACCTATGATATTCACTTTATTGAATTCCTCATCTAGAAGTTCTTTAAATGCTTCCTTTTGTTTCTCATTTAATGTATGGGACAAAGTCCCCGCCGTTTGGTCCGTTTGCAACTTCATTAATTCTTCATATTGTTCAATATTTGATTTAGCAACTAATGAACAGGTTGAAAATAAAAACTCAATCCAATCAGAAATAAAAGAATCACTTGAAGTTAAGCAAAAATTCCTCGTATATGTTTTATCACGGTCTACGACCTCGCCGCTTTGCGGCTTTAATTTAACCGTTGATGATACCATGAATGGTTTTAAGTAAGCGTTCAAAGTTGCACATTCAGAAAGTTGAGGTTCTTCTTTAGTCTCTAATGTTTCGAAGTCAAAAGTAATATAATATCTTGTTGGTTTATAATATTCCTGCAAATTATGTGCTAATAGCCATTGATATATCTTCTGTTTCGTGATATGTGGTGCATATGGTTGTTGTGTGTTTTGCAATTGAACGTCTTGAATTAATCTTCCATTATTTTCTTTACATTTCTCACAATGCTTTAAAAATCTTCTTTGGTTTTTCCTTTCTGGATCATCACGGATAGAATATACTTCTTCTTTGCAAAAGGGGCAAACTTATAGCCGGTGAGTGCTTCAACGTCTGTTATTCTGTCAGCGTGAAGTTTTCCACATGGACTCTGTGTTAATAAAATATTTACTGTTTCAAATTCTGGATCTATCATTATTGAATCCACTAATGGAAAGTCTACCTTGTTAATGTCTACGTCTTCTGGTTGAGGGTCACAATAATAAAAATCAATATTAATGTTTAACATTCTTGCTAACCTCTCACTTTCTGATGAAATGTCAAACCCTTCATATGCATCTATTGCTTCGTTTAAATAACTTCTACGAGTTTTAGGATTAACACCATCAGGAATGTTATAGAAGCGTTTAAATAACCTTCTACCTTCGGCTCTATTTGATTATCATTCATTTTAGCTGTTCCATTTTTGTTCATTTATGTAAGAATAAAAAATTAAAAAATAAATAAAAATAAAGTTTATTTTTTAAAGTCCAGGGCTAAAGTCCATAAAATGAATTAAGAACACATAAATTTTTATCATCTGCGACGTGACGAATACATTTTAATTTACTCAAGAATGCGTACCCTGATACATTAAATCTAATTCCTGTCTTATTTAATTTCACAACTTTGAAAAGGAATGTATGAATAGCTATAAAATGATGAGATGATGTTTTATGGGTTGCTTCCATTTTTTCTGAAATAAATGAATAAATATAATGCTTATAAGTTTTCATATCTTTTATATTCTTAATAACGAATGGTATAGACCTTTCCACTTCGTCTTCCTTCGGTGCTGTTCTTTCATAAAACATTATTGGTATCTTCAATAATGAAACCACAATCACATAAAATTTTATATGTACCAATTGTTTCTTTTGATATTTTATCTAACAAATCAAAAACTTTATCAACACCCGTGCATTTATTTAAATAATAATTTGTGTAAATATCATGGTCTTCTTTCTTAATCGTATTTGTTGCATATGTTACATTTTTCAATGCTTTTTTGAATTTTTCAGAATCAAGAGGAGGTGAAAGTAATATACAGGGTATTCTTCATCGTCAATAAACTGAAGCTTATGTTTATGAATAAATTTTGTGCCTTCTTCTGAAAGTGTTTCGTCAATATCACCATCTAATAAATTTTTAGTAGATTCCAAAAAGTAATTTTTATATCTTTCTTCATGAGATTTCTGAACTTCTGATTCTGAAGCTGGGATATTCATTAAACCCTCTACTTCATTCTCATTATATTTTTCAACTTCTCTTAATTCCTTAATTTTTTCATCTATTTCATCTCTTATTTTTTCCAGTCTTTCAATTTCATCATATTCATCATCTTTAATCCGTTCTTCATAATATTCAGGGAAAACATCAGGTTCTTTGGTTTTTCTTCTTCAGATGTGGGATATAAGAAATTTATAACATCATCTTTATTCATTTTTCCATCATAATCAAACTCATTTAAAAACTCTGCGAATTTTTTACAATTTCTTAAATAATATTTATCAACTTCATAACCCGCCTCCTCTAATATATCCTTTATTTCCTCATTTGTGAATCCCATTTTTTTAACATTGTTAGTTGTGACACTCATTTATCATTAAATAAAAAAATAAATTATTCAAAAATGTAAGACATGAATTTTTAAAGTTTATTTTTCATTCATGAAAATAATTATTTCTAATTTCTTTTACTCTCTCGTACATACTAGATTTAAAGAATTCAGAACTTTTACCATAATCTCCTAAATGTTTTCTTATCCCTAACGTGTGCCAGTTATTATATGAAACTGAATAAACTTTATCTTTATCTTTACACCTTTCATCACTTCCAATATATTTATATTTCAGTTTTGATTTAGCATTTTCATATTCATTAACGTTTAATAATTCACAGTCTTCCTTTTTAAATAAATGTTTTATGTATTCAGGATTTAATACTCTACGTTTATATGCTCCTAACTTAGTTCTAAAGGTTTTTCTACAAAATTTAGGAATTCCATCCTCTTTAATGTCATCAATGATTTCCATTTCATTATTTTCAATTTCTTCTTCTCGTTTATGAGGTCTTTGATTATGACTCCATTGATTCCATGAAATTAAATATTCTTTATCATTATATTTATACCTCATTAGCTTATTTTGGCTTTCATATTCATTTAATAATTCACAATCTTCATTTTTAAATTGAAGTTTAACCCATTCAGGATTTAAATGATGTTTAATTAATCGCGGAATATCTGACATCATCTATATATAGCTTCTTTTATAAAAGATAAAAAAATAAATTATTTTAAAATTAATGTTAATTTTTTTAATGATTTATAAATAAATATATTTTAATGCATCGTCTATATATAGATGTAACAAAAAAAGTCACTAAACCCTTCCACATATACTACTATTATTATTTTTTCTACTTTTCTCTTCTTTTTTTCTTTTTCTCTTTTCTTTCTTCTTTTTCCCTTTTCCCTTCCTTTTTTTCTAGTTTTGGAAAGGAAAAAGTAAAAAATTTAATAATTAATTTTATTACTATGAAAATATACTTTTTAGCTTATATTGTAAGCTGTGAGAGTTTTAAGTGATGGAAGATATAAATCAAATTTGAAATTCAACAAATCTTGTTATGATTAAGTTGAATATTGTACTCTAATTAAGAGTTTTCAGTTATGAACTCAGGTATTATATAATAAAAGTATAACTCAAGATAATAAAGAGGTTTTTAAAATGTAGATCTGAAAATCAAACTACCATGTTTGATATGATTAAGTTGAATAATGTTATTTTATTAAATGGTTCAAATCTGTGAAATCGGCAATTACAAATTAAAGGCGTAGTTCAAAAAATTAAAGAGATTTTAAAAATTTAATATCAGAATTAAACTAAAAAAAGGATTTAGTTATTTCAGTAATTATCAGAAAAGGTTAAAAAGATAGGGTAAGTAATGAGACTTGAGTGAGATGTGAGAAATCATATGTAAATAATTAGATATCTGATGAGTAAGGTAGTAATGAGAGTTAAGATCTGGTTAGTAAGGTAGTAATGAGAGTTAAGATCTGGTTAGTAAGGTAGTAATGAGAGTTAAGATCTGGTTAGTAAGGTAGTAAAGAGTTAAGATCTGGTTAGTAAGGTAGTAATGAGAGTTAAGATCTGGTTAGTAAGGTAGTAATGAGAGTTAAGATCTGGTTAGTAAGGTAGTAATGAGAGTTAAGATCTGATGAGTAAGGTAGTAATGAGAGTTAAGATCTAGTTAGTAAGGTAGTAATGAGAGATCTGCGGGCAGTAATGATACATCTATGAGTACATAACTAAAACCTGAGTTCTATGAGCGAAATCTGAGAGCTAAAAGCCGAGAGATCTAAGGTAAGTAATGAGAGAAGAGAATTTGAAATTTTACAAAATACGTTTACTCATACAAAATAATTCGCATTCTTTTATAACGAATCTCAATGCCAATTAATACATAAAACAGATTTTAGCAACTAATTGCAAGATTTAGAAAGATTTTATTTATAATCTCAGCCAAATTAACAAATATTTTATTGATTTCGTAAAAAATAGCAATAAAACATAAAAATATGACATTCTATTTTTCCAAAAAAATTTCAAAAATCATTTTTTAACATGAAATTTATATTTTTTAATTTTTTTTGGAATTTTCAACCATGTCAAAAGTCGGGGTCTACAAATGTATTCTCTTTGACATAGGATAAAAACATCCTTTCTTATAATTTCATTGTAAAATAAAATTTTCTTAAATTTATTGAATCCAAACTCAACTTTGCAACATTTTATTATCATAAAAACTAAGAAACATCAGGTAAACTTCAATTTGGAGAGCTTAAAATCATATCTAAATTGAAAAATAAGGGGAAAAAAATTGTAAAAAAAATCTCATTAGATGGGGCAAAAAGTGACTTTTTTAATGTGTTTTTTAAAAAAATCGTGCCAGCTGGCCAAAAAAGGTGTGCCAGCAGGCGTGCCAGTTTGTACAACCCTAATTATGCCTTAAAAATCCAAATATAAAAAATCGTAAATAAAAAATATATTTTTTATTTTTATTTTGTAAATAATCTGTTTACTAAATGGGACTGTATCATGAAAGTAACAAAAATCATTATTTAACAAGATTCAAAACTGGTGCAACGAAATGCACATTGATTTTGTAGTGTAACAAAGAGAGATTTATTGTAAAAAGTACAAAATAGTATATTTATTATCGTGATTAGCGTAGAAATGTATGAGTTTGGGACGAATTTCTGGTGCATTCATAACTAAAGTGATACATTGTCTGGAGCAAGTTCAGATCTTTAACTTATGGCTTGTTTGGTGCTAACTCACCCAATTTAAGTGCACTAGAGGGGATTTTGTCTGTAATGAGCATGCACCTTGAGTTGTTGTTTGGTCCGTGTACGAAAGATAGTAATTTAATACTATACTCGATTAAATGTGAATTTCTAATTTTGAATTTGCGTTTTTTCCTGAAAATAGTTACAATATATGAAAGAGTTGGCAAAACTAGAGGACACGTCTTTAAGGGTTTGGCTCGTGCTTCATGTTAATATGCCGAAACTAAAATAAACGTATATTGGGGGTCGAAAATTGAGAGCTCATATCTTTAAGTGACACTTGTTGTTTTTATAAAAAACACGAATATAGAGAACCTAACATTTAAATAAGCATTGGAATATTATATATCGAATCTCATTGGTAGTTAAATCCAAGATCCCTAAATGATACTATTTTCAATTCTCAAATCAAAACTAAATTTGAAGAATAAGATAATTCCTTCTTGATTTGATTACATATAAATGAAATGAATGTTATTAAGTTTTGAGCAAAGAAATTTTCAAAAAAAATGGAGATGGGGGGAATCGAACCCCCGGCCTCAACTATGCTAAAGTCGCACTCTACCACTGAGCCACACACCCTATTCAAATTTTCGAATAATTTTAATTACGAAACGATACAAAAGGAGGATGATAACGTAGATGATAGTTTAAATCCGAAAATTAATGCTTCAATCTGCAAATATTAAATCAGTTAAGTTTCGTTTTTTTGATAACTTTTTTTCGAACCCTTCAAAACTTAAAATTTTTATGTGCCACAAAATTAATTTTACTAATTTCTATTTTGCTATTCCATTTTATATGGCAATTTTTCATTTTAATTTTTATAAGAATTGACTGTAAATTTAATTTCAAATTTTCATATTTTACTTCTTTATTTTTACTCTACAAATAAGTTGTTTACAGGAAAATTGAAATATCTTTCAAATTTAACAAAAACTGACTAAAACATAACGTCTTTCAAAATTTATCGTCAGCAAGAATTTAAATGATTTTCTTACTCTTCTTTTGTTTTACGTTGGAACACTATCACTGTGCATCCGAAAAGTTTTCATTGAAAACTAAGCCTCGAAGTGTTCCGGAACTCAATTCAAACAAAAGAAGACTTCATTCCACGAATCGTCAGCCGATTCGAATAACCTTCGATTTTGACTTACTAAATCCCTCGAACCCAGATCCATTGAGGTGTGATGAAGTCGGTCAGAATATTACGTGGAGTGAAGATCCTCAATATTCTTTGCAATGTACAAAGGAAATGATATTAAATGCAGCTGGAAGAGATGTAATTACGAACACATTAAACAACGTTAAAACATATTTAGAGAAATTTCTATCCGTTGAACGCTTAGAACAAAATATTGAAAGTACAAATCTCAAAAATTTTTATACAATGCCATCCAAAACATATACAAACACAGACTTAGTTATACACGTTGTTTCAAGGCCTTTTGCCGATGCTTATTATTCGATTTCGACAATTGTATCTTCTCTCGAAACTACGAAACGGCCAATAGAGGCTGTTATATGCATTAATCCTACACTTATTTCTTCTAAAGCAGAAAACGAAACAATGCGTACAAGTAATTATTTCTTTGCTTGTTTGCACGAAATCACACATTGCTTAGGTTTTATATCTACATTTTACGAGTACTATCACCCGAGAGACTCCAATACTCCATATGCAGCTCCTCTTTGTAATTTAACTTTATATGGCATCAAACGAACGTATTTGGTCACTCCAAAGGCACATACTTATGCTAAACGTCATTACAATGCTGGTACGATCATAGGCGATGACGGAACTGTTTGTCCAAGCGGAATCGAATTAGAAAATTCAGGAACAGAAGCACAGCAGCTCTCACATCTTGAAGCACGTATGTTTTATTCAGATTACATGCTCGCAGTTCTCATCCAAACAGATACAGAACCATTCCATCGTTTTACAGATGCAACATTAGCAGTTTTACTTGATACAGGCAACTACGATCTCGACTATCATTACATGCGACCATTAGTTTGGGGTAACAAAGATGGTTTCCCTCCTGGTTCAACTGAAGTTGATAATTTCCATATTTTACCACCACAAGAAGTATTTCCAGAAGGATACATCGTTGTAGATCCAACAACTAACTACGATGTATGTAATTTTGATTTCAAATCCTATGGAAATAACATTATGTCAACGAAATCACCAGATTGCAGTAAAACTACATCAGAATACTGTTCTGGCAAATCATTCTATAATCCAAAGAACAGATCACAAATTGCAGATGATTCTATCTTTGATTTCCAACTTATCAAGTATCCACACACATGTTTTGATGGATATGCGACAATTCCAGGTAATTTAGAGTGTTTGAAGTATGTTCTTACAGATTCTTTTGTCACATTCACTCTTCCGAAAGATTTCAGATATCCTTTACAAAATATAACGTGTGATTCTAGTTCATCACATGAATTCAAGGAATATAATTACATAAATAACGCAGGTGTTAAGAAATACACTAAATACAAGTGTCCAGACTTCGAAAGATTCAGAAGAACTATCAATTTATTTAATTCATATTTTGATTCAGATCCATTTGATTTAAACACAAGACAACAATACAGAATTGTTCCTGATGAAGCAGATGTTGCAGAAGAATCACCACGTGAATCTCTTCCGACTAATTATATCCCTATCACACCAACAGAAAGTAGTTTTGTCAATACATCTGATTTCAGTTATTTAGGAACTAAACTAACAAAATCAACATTTTATGGTGTTTCAATCACAGCTGTTTTAGTTGTTGTTGTTTGTATGTTACTTTGTTTCATTGGAAGAAATGCATTCAAGACAAGAGTTGAAGACATGGATGCAGAAGAATCGGAAGATGGTGAACACAAGAAGAAGAGAAAGAAGAGAACAAAGAAACACCACAAGAATAATGATGAAAAAGAAATTGACCTCAAATCAGATGATTTCAAATCAGATCATGAAGTAAAAACTGTTCCTTCTGATGAAAACAAAACTAATAATAACAATAATAAATCATCAGATGAAAATAAGCGGAAACACAGAAAACGAAGAAGGAAAGAATAATTTATTTATTATATTTATTTTATATATTTTCATTTTTGTTTATTAATTTTATTAAAATTTTTATAGATTGCTAATGAGGATGTTTTATTGTCGTCTGGGAAAGTGACAAAATTATCATTGTCATCTAAAAAGTGACATCTTACCTTTGTAGTCTGGAAAAGTGAACATCAATTCCATCTATGTATATAGTGTGCATACACGCATGAAATATGGAGTAGCTCTTTATCTGTCTAAAAATCATATTATTTGAAAAAACCGCCAGACGACAATAATAATACCCCATTGCTAATTAAATGCGAAAAAAATACGTTATTTCCATGAAAAAGAGTTTTGGTATAACATATCAATTTGAAGGATATAATGAACAGATGAAGGCGAAACTTTTAGGGATGATATAGTGGGAGATATAGAACAAGCTTGCTCTCAAACTTTCCCACCTTACATTCAAAAGTTCTCCATGGTATAGACTTTTTTTCGCAGTTTGGACTTTTTTTTCTTACGTTGTTTATACTTTATATAGAATTTGAGAAGTTAAATAATATACTAAAGGAATATGTTTTTATAAGTCTTTATTGATGGATTTCTCCATCTTTATTTTATGATGCAATAATTTCATTTTTATTCCAAGATAACTGATAATTATTGAGAATTATTGACTGTTGAGTATTTCTGGATGTTGTGCGCGATGATATATCTAAATCTTGGATGATTAATTGGAATTATATTTCCCCTATTTGATATTTTTTGATGATTATAAAAATATATCAATGGACAACCTTCAACTGCATAATGGGATATAAATGAATCTAATGGACCAATAGAATCAAAAGTGACTGAGTCACTTTTTACATTTTGAGTGACATTGTTTTCATTAAAGTAACAATTGTCAATAATTGGTTTATCTGAAAATAAAAAGTTTCCTTTATTTTCTATGAATGAACAATTCGAATATGTAGCTGTATTAAAATTTTTAATTATTGCATAATTTTCATCACTTCCTTTATATTTATTATTTAAATAATTACATCTTGTAATTACAAGGTTATCGCCATTGTTTACTATTAATTGTGATTCTGAGGATGTATTTGAAGCTGTTATGAAATTAATAATTTTTGTTTCTTTTGGAAATTCAATTACATATGCAGCATCAATTTTAATTTTTTTGTGATAAGATGTATTCATGTTACTTATTTGGAGGTTTCCATTATTATGATAAAGTGCAGCTGCATTTCCACTACATTGTGAAACTGAACATCCAAATGCATAACTTTTATAGTTATCGCTTCCTAAATCTGATTTTCCAATGTAATATGCACATCCCCATTTAGCGGAATACGAATTTAAAAAACAATTATGAACTAAAACGCAATCAGAATTAATGATATTGAATGATCCACCATCATTTGTAGAACTATTGTTATAAAATGTGCATGTTTCAAGTAAAACTTTGTTTTTATTATTTTTATTTAGGTTAATTGCACCATTTTGATGATGGAATGAAAATACTACATGATGAATGTAATAATTTCCTTTTTTGATATGGTTTTGTTCTCTGTTTTCTCAAAATAAACATCTGTATCGTAATAATCCGAAAAACTTTGTTGAAATTGCAGAAAGCTTTGTTTATTGATTTCTTTTGTTGAATATATATTTATACCAAATGATTCATGTTGAGAAATCTTGTGAAATATGAAAATAGGGTTAGTGATCAACAATTGAAAAATTACTTTAACTCACATAATTAATTGTATGAGTTATTTCAAAAACTTGATCACAATTTCCATTTTCAATATTTAAAAATTTTGCGCCTCTTTATTTGCTGCGGTATGCTGATTTTTATATAGTACAAAAATTTTCCAATTCTACATCAGTAAAGAACGATAGATATCAATTTTAGGAAGGAATTGTTTTGTCCTTGATTTGGATATATTGAGTGTATTCATCCACTTATTAGTAATTTAAATTTTGATATTTTAATTATTGGTATCATTGTATTTGAACAATATTAGATCTTTATTTTGTACTTTCTGCGATGAAAACATGGAAATATTTAATAAATAGCTATAGAAAATAAGATATTCAATCAATGTTAATATAAAAAAAATGATATTCTGGATGGACCATGATAACACATAATAAATAATATTGCAAAGAAAAGGAATTCATTCTGGTTAGGTCAAAAATGCTCCTTGGTTTCCAGCATCTTGTGTGATTTCAGAATGGGCAGCTATTCTCATCATACATATGTGTACATTTCATGAACGATCTATTTTTCAAGAAATTAATCAATAAAAGTTAGTTTGTGAATCCACTTTTTGAAGTGGTTTGAATGATTTTGAATTCAGATGCAGATAAATTAGCTCTCAAGAATTCAATATCGAATGGTTTATCACTGATAATTCGAATAAGTTCTTCTTTGATTCTCTTTTCTTTATCCAAGTTACTTGTAGCAGTGCGTGCTGCTTTGTTTGCTTTCTCAACCTTCAATAAGACTTCTTTTTCATGTTCGATACTTTTTGTCTTCTGTTCATCTAATGTAGCTGAAATATCTTCGATTTTCTTGATATATCGTTTGGTTTCATCATCGGATTTCTTAACAACAACTTCGTAGTTTTCTCGCAATGAGGATACTTCGGCTTGGAATGATTTCGTTGCTTCATCTCGAGCTTCGTCCATTCTTGCATGAGAAATGAATTCGACTGCTTCGATGATGTTTGTTCCGACATAACCATCTTTTCGAGCTTCACCTAAGATTGAGTTGATTCTTCTCGTAGTTTCTTCTGTTTCAACTTTGAATTGTCCAATAAGAACAATCAAATTGTCTCGAACAGCAGGATCTAATGGGAATTTGAACTTGAATAGAGGTTTCTCTGAACCACTTAAAACAGCCATAAGTTTTTCAAATAACTCTGCTGCACTCTTCAAGTCGCTTTTGAGATTCTCAACTGCCTTAGAAATGTTATCACCATATGGATCATAAACAATATCTAAAATCTGTGAATGTTTGAAGTATGTTCTTACAGATTCTTTTGTCACATTCACTCTTCCGAAAGATTTCAGATATCCTTTACAAAATATAACGTGTGATTCTAGTTCATCACATGAATTCAAGGAATATAATTACATAAATAACGCAGGTGTTAAGAAATACACTAAATACAAGTGTCCAGACTTCGAAAGATTCAGAAGAACTATCAATTTATTTAATTCATATTTTGATTCAGATCCATTTGATTTAAACATAAGACAACAATACAGAATTGTTCCTGATGAAGCAGATGTTGCAGAAGAATCACCACGTGAATCTCTTCCGACTAATTATATCCCTATCACACCAACAGAAAGTAGTTTTGTCAATACATCTGATTTCAGTTATTTAGGAACTAAATTAACTAAATCAACATTTTATGGTGTTTCAAACGACAATAAGCTGTTTGGCAAGAGAGGAACCTTAAAAAATGATAATAATAATTAAAAAAATGCTGCGTTTAAACGTCTTATATATTTAAATTTTGGATTGGTAAATGGATTTATATTTTCATTATTTGATATTTTTTGATTATAAAAATATATCAATGGACAACCTTCAACTGCATAATGAGATATAAATGAATCTAATGGATCAATAGAATCAAAAGTGACTGAGTCACTTTTTACATTTTGAGTTACAGTGTTTTCATTAAAGTAACAATTGTAGAGGTAGGGCAACGATAGGTCAAAAAGGCTTCTCTGATAGATTTCCTTGCCTTTTGGATATGCTATAATATATAGCCTAGCATGATAGGATATGATGTCAAAAGTTAGAACATAACTTAGGATCTTGAGAAAAATGAAAAACAAAAATTAGGGATGCGTTAAACACGCCATTTGACCGGGCGTACATTTTTTTGTTCGCCCAAAAATTTCGCCATTTGAGAAATTCAAAAATTAAAAATAAAATTTTAATCTTGATTTTTTTATTTTCGTGATTTTTTTGAAACTTACATAAGCGATGAAATACTTTTTTTAATTATTCGTTTATTATATATAAATATATCTTAATAAATTTAATTCCTTAAGGTAGAGCGTGTTCAAATTTAAAATCTCATACAATATTTTCTTAATGGCGTATTTTTCTGAGGTCGCCCAAATAAAGGCGAATTCAAAATTGAGAACTCCAAGGCGTATGGCGAGTATTCAAAAAGTACGCCACTTACAAAATATTGAATGTGGATTATCAATTTTTGGCGTTTTCAATTTCAAATTTTGATATTTATGTTTATTTTATTCAGTATAATGCTAAGAATTAAAATATAAAATTCATAGAATTTTTTCTTTGAAAATATTTTACATTTTTATTAGACCACTCCTAGACTAGTCATCAGGTTATCCTCAGATCATCCTCAGACTACTCCTTATCAGATTACTCATCATCCTCAGACTACTCCTTAGACCCCTCCTCATCAGACTACTCCTCAGATCTTCCTCCTGAGACTACTCTTCAGACTAGTCCTTAGAGTCCTCCTCATCAGACTAGTCCTGAGACTAGTCCTCAGACTACTCCTGAAAACTCCTCAGATTATCCTCAGACTCCTCCTCAGATTATCCTCAAACTCCTCCTCAGATTATCCTCAAACTACTCCTCAGTCTAATCCTCAGACTCCTCCTCAGATTATCCTCAAACTCCTCAGATTATCCTCAAACTCCTCAGACTATCCTCAAACTCCTCAGACTACTCCTGAAACTACTCCTCAGATTATCCTCAAACTCCTCAGACTACTCCTGAAACTACTCCTCAGATTATCCTCAGACTCCTCCTCAGATTATCCTCAAACTCCTCAGACTACTCCTGAAACTACTCCTCAGATTATCCTCAAACTCCTCAGATTATCCTCAAACTACTCCTCAGTCTAATCCTCAGATTCCTCCTCAGATTATCCTCAAACTACTCCTCAGTCTAATCCTCAGACTCCTCCTCAGATTATCCTCAAACTACTCCTCAGTCTAATCCTCAGACTCCT